GTGTTTTATGTTAAGACACACCATAATAGTTCATGGGTATTTACAGTACATCAGACTTTGTATAGAGAATATAATGCTTGGTTCTTCCCTTGCTGTTTCTTTTCAGTCTTTTAGAAGAATCCACACTTTACTCTCCAGATTTTCCTGTGTCTACAGCTCCCCGCTTAGTCTCCTTCACCAACTTGTCTTTTTCTACCTCTTCCCACACAGTCCAGTTCCATCTTCTTGCTGCACTACATGTTGGAGACTGTATTTCTTCTCACAGTCCGGTCATCCCTTGAGCTCATCAGTATCAGACCTCTTGGTACAGTATCCTCTCAACTCCCATTTCCAACTGATTGGCAGTGCTTCCCATCCAACCATAGCTAAAGGGATCATTTACCGGCATCAGACTCAGCCATCCAAGTCCAGCACTAACTCTCCTACACAGGACTTACCTGATTCCACAATCAGAATATTTTTAAATTTTTTTCCCTATATTATGCTATATGAAATATTGTCTCTGTATCATTTAACACACAACTGTCTCCTGATCACAATTCTATACATGTCTATAACCTCATCAGGTAATCGGCAGAGAAGGATGGGTGTGAAGTGAGAAGAGCTGCTGAGGTCTAAAGTTTTCTTTCATTGATCCAATTTAACTTCCCAAAGTTTTGGGTTCTCCATCTGTGAAATGGAAATAAGATGCCCACTGATAGGGATGTTGTGAAGACGATATGGAGAAGGCAGCCTGCATGTCGAAGGGACTGGAAAATGGAAACTGCAGGAGCAGTGTGTGTGTGTTTGCTTGAATCCTTAAAGGCAGACATGTGACCCCCAGAGCACTCAGCCAGGACTTCGTTATGTTATTGACTAACATCTGCATAGCTCTTTACTAGGGGTGCAACACATTTCATAAACTGGAAACTGAAATGTTTTTATTTATTACTAGAGGCCCGGTGCATGGATTCGTGCACGGGTGGAGTCCCTCGGCCTAGCCTGCACCCTCTCACAATTTGAGACCCCTTGGGGGATGTCAGAGAGCCGATTTTGGCCCAATCTCTGCAAGCCAGGCCAAGGGACCCCATCGGTGCATGAATCTATGCACAGGGACTCTAGTATGCATATAAGATCTTTGGTTAATCTCTTTCTGCCCTTCCCCCCCCTTCCCTCTGAGATTCATCAGTCTGTTCCATGTTTCCATGCCTGTGGTTTCCGTTCCTGCATTGAGCATCTGCCCCCTGGTGGTCAGTGCGCGTCACAGCTACTGGCTGGTCAGCCGGTCACTTAGGCTTTTATATGTATAGATTAAAGCATCCTTTAGAGCAGTGGTTCTCAACCTTCCTAATGCCACAACCCTTTAATACAGTTCCTCATGTTGTGGTGACCCCAACCATAAAATTATTTTCGTTGCTACTTCATAACTATAATTTTGCTACTGTTATGAATTGTAATGTAAATATCTGATATGCAGGATGTATTTTCATTGTTACAAATCGAACATAATTAAAGCATAGTGATTAATCACAAAAACAATATGGAATTATATATGTGTTTTCCGATGGTCTTAGGTGACCCCTGTGAAAGGGTCGTTTGACCCCCAAAGGGTCGCGACCCACAGGTTGAGAACCACTGCTTTAGAGGATGATTTTAGAGTAAGAGAACTATTAGAAGTCCCTGTCCAAATCTTGGCTTTTTTAATTTATTGAGAAACTTTTCTTTTTTAAAAAATATATTTTTATTAATTTCAGAGAGGAAAGGAGAGGGAGAGAAACATCAATAATGAGAATCATTGATTGGTTGTCGCTTACACACTCCCTACTGAGGATCAAGCCCGCAACCTGGGCATGTGCCCTGACTGGGAATCTAACCGTGACCTCCTGGTTCATAGGTCAACGCTCAACCACTGAGCCATGCTGGCCTGGCTTGGCTTTTTTTTTTCTAAATGACACCTCTTTGGGTCCACAAGAAACAATGTAAATAAAATAACACTCCTTTCTTGATTTTATTTATTTATTTATTGTTGACAGTATTACAGATGTCACCCATTTCCTTCCATCCCCCCTCCACCCAACCCCGCCCCACCCCAGGCCTTCCCCACCCTACTGTCTGTGTCCATGGACTATGCATATATGTTCTTTGGTTAACCTCTTCCCGTCTCCTCCCTTCTTTCTGATTACTAGATATGCTTCGGAGAAATCTACTGACATCTCTACAGCTTTAGTAGGAATGTGAGAAAGAGGCAGCTTCTCAAAAGGTATTCAATGCATTGCAAGATTATTTAAGGAACAAACAGACTTTTCTCTGCCAGGGTCCTGGAATGAATGTTCCTTCGAGTTCCCATTTATGTTCTTATTCCTTTGGAATTTGCAGTATTCTGTGGTGGCTTTAACTACCTAAAATCCTAAGAGGAATTTTTCATTGAAAGATTCAGGAGATATATATATATATATATACACACACACACACGCACACACACACACATATGTGTGTGTGTGTGTGTATATGTGTGTATAAATATATATATATATATATATATATATATTTCAGAGAGGAAAGGAGAGGGAGAGAGAGAGATAGAAACATCAATGATGAGAGAATCATTGATTGGACGCCTCCTGCACACTCCCTACTGGGGATGGAGCCCGAAACCCAGGCATGTATCCTTGGCTGGAATCAAACCCAGGACCCTTGAATCCACAGGCCGATGCTCTATCCACTGAGTCAAACAATCTAGGGTACTTTTTTTTCTGACCAACTTTTTATTCCACCTATTCCTTCAACTGACATTTTCTATATTTTCTAGTCCTATGCCCAAAACAAAAATGAAGCCAGGAACATAAGATGTTTTAAACTATAAATGCTTTTGTTTCACCAGATTGAAAAATTCCCATTTTGGAGCACGTCATGCTCTTTTATATTCTCTGAAATATAATATAAAGGACCAGAGAAACCTCAAAACACACCTGAACCTTTTTATTGAAGAAATGATGAGGAACATTTTTAGAGATTTTAATATTAAAATCAGAAAACTCTTAATCACTCTTATAATGATGGATGTATTTGTTCGAGAAAAATAGTATAGAAATGAATGAGACCTAGTAGTTATGGATTGATTGCAAACTAGCAGGCCACAGGCCACATGTAGCCTAGATATATTTATAATGTGTTCCTTATAGTTTTTAAAATTAAAGACATATTACATAAAAACATCTGGAAACTTCAGTTTTCTGTGAAAAGGAATTTTTAGAACTGTGGCAACAATCAGCTACAGTAGGAGCTGCCCCATTTATAGTGGTTTTTTCTTTCCAGAGGCCAAAATCCTCATCTCCCTCCCTCCCATGTGTCTCCTACCAGGATGCTCCCCTCCTTCATCTCACCTGTCAGAGCCTTGCACACACTGGAAATGCAGGTACAGGAAAGTTTTAAAGGCAAAGAGCCTAGATCTAAAAAAGAGCTTTCCCCTTCACTAGCTCTGTAACTTCAGCACACTGTGAGTTTTCAGGCCCGTCAGCTTTAACATGAAGATAATGCCTTGACCTCACAAGGTTGTTACAGGGACTAAAAAGGGAGTATACAGAAAGTACTTTGTAAACTGTAATGTAAAATGTTTGTCATCGTTGTTCATTTCCCAGCCCCCTTCAGTTGCATAAATCCCCTCTACCTTCCTCAGTTACATCGGCTTCCTTGATTCTCACATGATTACATCCTGTATGACACAGTTTAAAATCTAAATAAAAAGAATCTTATATATTTACTTACATCGTTTAATAAAAGATAGAAAAGATGAACAAATATTAAAGGAAAACAAAATGAATTGTTGAATGCCACGGATCTTTACTAGGTCATTTCTGTTTGTGACGAAGGTATGAAATTAGTGCAAAGTGTAATTACCAGATGGCTGACCCTTTCAAATGCTGTGTAATAAGTTCACCCACTAGGCACCCGAGGCCTCAAGGTAAAACCGACAGCCCAGTGATTAGGAGATCCTCTAAGATTAGAGCACTGGCCTGCTCCTTGGGTCTTACCCAGTGCTCCAGTAAAGGGCTCAATCCATCAGGGAAAACAACAACAGGGTCTAAAAGCTTTCTCTGTGCATCCTTCCTATGTTTTAACACGAGCTCCAAAAACTTGGAATCTGGAGTATTAAGACATGGCACACATTTTAGATCTACATCTATCTACATATGTCAAATAATCAATAAGAGACTGGAAAAATCTCAGAAATGGAAGAGGTGCAGAAAACTGCACTGAAATAATAATTCAGTGGATATAGAAATGTTAGCAAAGATGTGTCTTATGGGTGCTTACTCCTTACATTAGGAATTTCACATATGTATTCCTGTTCTGGTCAATTTACAACAGAAGACCATCCTTGTACGATAAATTTATTTATCTTCTGCTTTCAATGTTAAGATAATCACATCTGAATGAAATGCAAAATACAATAAGTAGAGAGGAAGAAAGGATTTTAACTGGGATCAGCTTTCTTTATAAGATCACCAAAAAAAAAAAAAGTAATTTATGATTCAAGACACATCCGTTGAAAAATTCATCTGACGAACCTTCTTTAAAGCATACCATATAGTGCAATTATCGCTTTTCTTAAAGTTGAATGAAATCATCGCCTGAATACAGATTAACGAATGCCAAATTACCACATGGCCCTCAGTGTATATTTTTTATTTAAAAAAAATCAAAATAAACAACAGCACCATTGAAGAAACCAGTTCTTTCAACAGATGTCCCAAGGCTGATGTTTCAGGAAGTCTCCTTGGCAACCAAGGAGCACAGTATACCTAGGGTTGGGGGGAGGGGAGAAAGGTGATGGCAACTCCAGGGTTGGTAGAAGAAGTAACAGAGAGTCGTACTCGCTCTAGCCAGAGGACATTGAATGCCCCTGAAATTTAAGTCAACTCTGGCCTCACCCCCACTGGCGCACCGGCAGCTTCCCACCTCCTCCCTCCAGTCTGCAGGCACCAACCCCGAACCGGTTACAAGGAGAGAGACAGACTTACCCGATGGGGTGCGCGTTCTGCTGGGTTCTGTACCCGACGCGGCAGCGCAGGCACCGGGCTTTCCCCAATGCACAATGGCCCTGCTTCGTCCCACGATGCTGAGGTTAAGAGAAATCGCAGGAGCTTCGCTCTGCCTGTTTGGAGATGCAGTTGTGAAGGAGCGAGCGTGCGCGGGTGCGTGCGTGTGTATGTGTGTGTGTGTGTGTGTGTGTGTGTGTGTGTGTGCGTGCGCGCGCGCGCGCGCGTGTCAATGAGTGAGTGTGCGTGTGTCTGCGTGTGCGCGCGCGCGTCCCTGCGCGCTCTGGGCTCTCCCGCGGGGAAACCGTGTTTCCCAGTAAAAGACACAGCAGCAGCCAGTACTGCAGGTGGCACGTCCGGCTCGCTGTGCCCCAGGCGGCGCGTCGGCTCACAGGCGCACCTCGGCGGAGCCCGGGGCGGGCTCAGGCGGCCCAGCGTCTCCGCCCCCTCCCGCCTCCGGCGGCCGAGCACACCCGCTCGCCCCGCGCCCTCGGCCGCGAGCACGCGCACAGGCTCCCGCCTCCCCGGCCCCGGGAGCGCGCACGCCGCGCACCTCACCCCCACCCCCACCCGGTGCCGAAGGCGAGCCTGGCGCGCGCCAGCTCTCCCCGGAAGTCCCCTTCCTCTGCGCACCCTGGCCCTCGGGCACCTGCGCTGCGGGACGCGGGGTCACTGGCAGCCTCAGCTGCGGCCCCTCCGGCGACGACCGATACCCAGGAAACCAACCTGCTTGCTCCTCTCTCCCTTCCCCAGGGCTGGCACGCAACCTGCGGGAACAGAAGCTATGAACCCAACTTGGTGTGTCTGGAAGCACTGGCCCTGTTTCCCTCTCCAGGACCCAACCAACTTGTCAAGTTCAAAATGCCCCTATTTCAACCGGCCGCGTTGCGGGAGCTACTGGTAAATAGTGGCCCTCCTTAGGATAGTAGACTTCCTGGTACTGAAGAGACTGGCATCACAGTAACTTTAAGAAATGATCGGGGATCACCAGTGATGGATGGCAGCCTTGAACCTGAGGAATGAGGAAAGGTGCGTGGTTACAGCCACTTCAGCATTAAAACTGCAAACACCAACCCTAGACACCACCATTAAATTCCAGGGCCTGGCCCATTCTTGTGCCACGTGTGGATCTTTCATATTCCTGTGTAAAATATTCTCAGAAATGCATACTTAGGCATAGTGGGTTGTTTTACTAGGTAAAAACCTACCATATTCCACTTTTGAAATGAAAACCTTGGTCCTACGTGGAGTTAAGCTACCAGCAAATACAACTCTAAATTAGAGCCAACTATTTGGTAGAAGTTCAGGGTTTAAACTACTGCAAAAAATGGAATTTCACAGAAGGTTAAGTCTCATGTCTTGGAGGTTGGTGTTCTTCCACACTTGGGCTAGGAACAGTACCCTGATCTATTCTGAGATGACCGTAACATTCTCATTAGTTTCAAATCAGTGGTTCAACAATTTTTCCACTCTCAGACCTACAGGTTTTCTGAAGCTGTTTGCACCACACCTCACCCCTTGGGGCATGGCTGGCTGGCTCCCAGGGCTTGATATTTGAACTTTAGGATTCTGGGGACCTACTTTATCTGGCAGTCCTGGACACCAAGATGGGGGCAGGGGGAAGAATGACAAACAACTGATGGCAAACATTAGGTGCAATGCAATTCTCTAGAAGTTTTCATACACAACTTGATATTTTTCATTGGATGCTGTGTTATGTTAGAAGACAAGTGTTAAAGCATATTTGAACCCAAAATACTGACAATGATTGGTGTCAATAAAACACTCCTTTAAGATTCATAAATTATTTGTCACTAAGGTGACTGTCCTTAAAACCTGAAACCCATCTATATTGACTGGATTATCTATTTGTTTAGGATAAATAGAAGCTGTTTATTATTAAATACAACTAAATAGAAAGAGCAAAGATATAGCTATTTACACAGAAATATAATCTTTATTCCACCAACTCACCATCTGTGTGACTGTAGAATGGTCTCTTTCTGCCCTAGCTGAGTCTGTTTGCTCATTATTGTATTCCTATGTGTAAGCACAATGTCTGTCACATATCAGGGGCTCAAGAAATATTGCTGACTAACACATAGATGTTGAGGATTAAATTAAAAAATGTATGTTAAATGCCTAGTAAATGTCTAGTTCAGAGAGTGCGATTTTTTCCTAAATGACTTCATAAGATTGATTTATAGTGTGGTTGTTTTTAATTGGGGAAAAAAACACACATTTACTTCTCTAAAGTACATGACTCCATGGTTTGTTAACTAGCCTTCAAAACTCAACACAAGTGTGTTTTCTGGAATACTGTTAATAGAGAACGATAGGTTTTAGGCACTATTTCTCTCTTGGGTACCATTATATACAGTCTTTCCTTATTAAGGACATAGCTTAAAACAATGCTTCCCAAAAGCTCTGCTATGGAACCCTAGTAATTTGTTCAACAAAAATTTTCTGAGTTCTTAGGCTGTGTTAGGCAGTGTTATTAGTATAGGGCTTTCAGTTGTCAAAAAACAGACAACATAGACTGACGAATAGAGACAGAGAAACAGCGATCAGACTATCAATCCCCAGAGGGAAAGTAGGGGAGGGTGGGGGTAAGGGGAAGAGATCAACCAAAGGACTTGTATGCGTGCATATAAGCCAAATCAATGGACATGGACAACAGGGGGATGAAAGCATGAGGTGGGGGGAGGGGGGGTTGGGGGTTAATGGGGGGGATGAGGACACACTTGTAATACCTTAACCAATAAAGAAATTAAAGATAAAAAAAAAAACAGACATTGTCCCTGTTTCAATCTAATGTTATTGACAGGTAAACTAAAGAAGAAAATGTGCGGGTCCTTTGGTTGCAAAACAAAATAAAACTCCACCCAGTTTAAATAAAAAGGACTTTGATGGAAGAATAACAGGAACTCTGATAACTGATGGGCATCCTACCTAGATACCCAAGCTAGGAAGCTGCAGGAGTGAGAGCAACTCCAGAGAGCACAATGGCATTGACAGCAGGATGATGTAGGGGCAGAAATGTCATGACCAGGTGTCTCCCATGCTGGAATAAGTGGACCCCAACCTATTGTTCTTTGATACTCCCAATTCAGAGTCCAGCTTTCAGGTGTCTTAACTTAGAACACTACCCAGTCCCTTAGCTGGGGGAGGTTAGGCCTCCTGTTCAGAGCCCCATCAGATTTAAGAAAAGTGGATCCTGGGAATGGCTGGAAAACACAGGAAATTTCACCATAGGAAATTGGTGCTGGGGTCAAAGGGGTTGGGGAAACACTGAAAACTGGCTCCCAGTCACACTGGCATTAAAGACCCTGAGATCTCAAAGTAAAGAAAGCTCGTTCACTTTCCTAAACAACTATCCTGGAGTTTGGCTGAATATGGAACACTTTTTTCCCCCCCAGCTTACCTCCTAAATCAATTTGAGAAGCATTTTGGAACATGCTAGTATTTGTGGCATTTTTTCTATCTATCATCAGCTTGTCCATGGACCAAGATGTGAAGGCATAGCATAAATCCAGTGTTATCAAAGCTTTTATAAAATTTTCATTTTTAACAGCTCTGTGACATAGTTGAAATAGTCTCTAGATTGGTAGGATTTTAACTTAAAACTACATCATAAAAGAGCTATATCATAGTTCCTTCTTCAACTCCAGAATAAACGCTTGTCACAGATGCTTTGTCCCATAGCAATTGAGGAGGTGTCATTCTTAATGCTAGTGTCATGGTTTCCTGTCACAAACCAGTAGTGGCATTAGAAGTCACTGAGCAGATTTCTAATTATTGTACTTCCAGGGAGAACAGATCATTATTAATTGTGCCAAAAAAAATATTTTTGGCCGATAATATCCAATTTCCAAGTGCAAAATACAAAATAACTCTAGCTAATGCCTCCACTTATTCAATTGAGGATATATTTTGTAGCTAATTCATCCTATTAATTAGGAGCCACTGCCACTCAAAACCAGCTCTGGGAAAATCTTTTACTGATAATATTTTTCTTTTGTTTTGTTAATCCTCACCCAAGGATATTTTTTTCCATTGATTTTTCAGGGAGAGTGGAAGGGAGTATGGGGGGTGGGGAGTATGGGGGGTGGGGAGGGTGGGAGAGAGAGAGAGAGAGAGAGAGAGAGAGAGAGAGAGAGAGAGAGAGAGACATTGATATGAGACACATCAATTGGTTGCCTCCCACAAGCACCCAAATCTAGGCTGGGGAAAGAACCTGCAATCCAGGTACGTAGCCCTTGACTAGAAATCTAATCAGTGATCCTTCTGTGCTCAGGCCAATGCTCTAACCACTTAGCAACAGGGGCCAGGGCTACAGTTAACATTTTTAATGTCTGTTATATTCTACTAGAGGCCCGGTGCACAAAAATTTGTGCACTGGGGGGGGAGGGTCCCTCAGCCCGGCCTGTGCCCTCTTGGAGTCTGGGACCCCTTGGGAGATAACGACCTGCTGGCTTAGGCCTGCTCCCGGGTGGCAGAAGGCAGGCCCAATCCCTAGGTGCAGCCCCTGGTCGGGCTCAGAACAGGGCTGATTGGGGAGTTGGGGCACCGCCCCCTGTCATACACAGAGCAGGGCAGATCGGGAGGTTGTGATGCCACCCTCAGTCACGCTCAGGGTAGGGCCAATTGGGGGGTTGGGGCACCGCCCCCTGTCACACTCAAGGCAGGGTTGATGGGGAGGTTGTGGTGCCACTGCCTGTCACGCACGGAGCAGGGCCAATCAGGGGGTTGGGGCGCTGCCCCCGTCACTCATAGAGCAGGGTCCATCAGGGGGATTGGGGCTCCATACCCTGTCACGCACAGAGCACGGTCGATCAGGGGGTTGGGGAGCTCCCCCTTGTCACTCACAGAGTAGGGCTGATAGGGGAGTTGGGGCACCACCCCCTGTCACACACAGAGCAGGGAGGATCAGGGGGTTGGGGTGCCGCACCCTGTCACACTCAGGGCAGGGCCGATGGGGAGGTTATGGCTCTACCCCGTCACACATAGAGCAGGGCTCGTGGGGGGCGGTTGGGGCGCCGCCCTCTATCACCCACAGAGCAGGTCCGATCAGGGTGTTGGGGCGCCGCCACTGTCACACTCAGGGCAGGGCCGATGGGGCAGTTATGGCTCTACTCCGTCACACACAGAGCAGGGCCCTTGGGCGGGGGGGGGGGGGGGGGGGGCGCTGCACCCTGTCACACACAGAGCCACAGGGCGATCAGGGGGTTGGGGCGCCTTCCCCTGTCATGAACAGAGCAGGGCGGATAGGGAGGTTGTGGCCCCGCCCCCTGTCACACACAGAGCCACAGGGCGATCAGGGGGTTTGGGCGCTGCCCCCTGTCATGCTGATCCCAGTGCAGGAGGCCTTGTGGCTCCGCTGATCCCAGTGCTGAGAGGCATATTACCCTTTTACTATATAGGATAGAGGCCTGGTGCACGGGTGGGGGCCAGCTGGTTTGCCCTGAAGGGTGTCCTGGATCAGGGTGGGGGTCCCCACTGGGGTGCCTGGCCAGCCTGGATGAGGGGATGATGGCTGTTTGCAGCTGGTCACACACCCTTCAGGGTGGGGGTCCCCACTGGGGTGCCTGGCCAGTCTGGGTGAGGGGCTGAGGGCTGTTTTCAGGCCGGCGGGTGACTGAAGCTCCCAACCGCTCCTTTTTTTCTTTTTTTTTTTTTAATTCTGGGTCAGCTTTAGCTCTGAGGCTTGGCTGCAGCTCTTAGGCCTCGGCTGCTGAAAGCAGGTATCTGGTTTGCTTGGGTTCTATAATCGAAACACTGTTTCAACTCCAGCTCTGAGATCGCGGCTGGCTGAAAGCAGGTTTCTGGGGTTTTGTTTAGCTTCTATATTTGGAACAATGTTTCAGACTGCAAGCTCAGAGGCCGGCAGCGGCAGGCGGGGAACGTTAGCTTCCTCCGTCACTGAAGCAAGCCTCATGTTCGCTTCAAGCTGCTTGGCTGCCGGCTGCCATCTTGGCTGGCAGTTAATTTGCATATCGCCCTGATTAGCCA